TCCTGCTGACTGAGGCAGAAAGCACAATAAATAAATGGATTACTGATTTCTTATGAAGGCCATTTTTATAAGCATTTAGAAGCTTGTTTGCCTTCCTAAGCTATGAAGCATATTTTCTTACCTGAAATATTTGGAAAATTCAAGATAGCACAAGAGTATTCACAAACTTTTTCTTGTTCATTAACCCAAAGACAGTTGCTTGCCTCCAAGAAGAAAATGAAAAATTGAAGACTAGACTCAAGACCATAGAAACACAGGTAAATTCCCTGTAACCTTTGATACTTAATGCTGTTTACATATTTTAAAAAAATCTAAATAAGAATCCCATGGTTATTATTCTCATATTTTCAATTAAAATATGTTTCTGAGGTTTTACAGTTTCAATGTATCACAGGCTACAGCTGCACTAGATGAAAAGTCCAAACTAGAGAAGTCACTGAAGGATTTACAGATGATCCAAGGAGATCAAAAGGTAAATATAGTTAAGATTTACCACCACCACCCCCGTTTAACACAACTGTTGCCTGTACATCTGAAAAGTTGGTCTGTGTGGTGTGTTTCTTTTCTGGCAAATACAAATGTTCAAATTAGTATCATCATGTTCCTGCTGGTCTGTCAGTCAACGGATAATCCAGAACGTTAGCTGATTTTATGACACTTATTTTGTGTCACATTGACTATGGTAAATTATTATCAGAAAGTATTATTCCAGGTACTATCAGGAAGTAGTATTCCAGAGTTCATATTCTCAGGGGTGATATTTGTATTAACAGATACAAATTTATTTTGGTTTGTTTCTTCCTTTTTACTAATGAAAGAATGATATCTAACCTGGTTTTTATAGCAACAGTAAACCACTAATTCTTTCAAGCATTTGTCACACTTGATATTGACACGGACAAGCCAGACTTGCTTCTCACTTCAGACTTCAAAAACCTAAATACTTACATGTAAGTGTCTAGCGTCCTATATTCTTAAACATCAGTTGAAGTTTACTACAAATGTCAATGAACATGGGTCAGACAACATAAAAAAAATGTTTGATTTTATGTAGTTCTGCCCATATCAGCATACTATCAAAAATGGTTCACTGTTTATTTTTACTACTTAACGTTCTTAATCTTTTTTGTAAATGAGGATTCAAACACGGTGAATTGCTGCTGCAGCAAAAAAACCCATAAGAAGCTAGAAGTCATGCAGGTTGACACAGATAAATCTGTTCAGGTCACCTTAGGATTTTTTTAAGTTTGTACCTTTATTTTGTCAATTTAGAATTTTCTGAATTTTGTTCATGTGTGATTGTTTCTTAAATTTAAAACATTTTGTTCAAACTTTTAACAAAAACAGAACACTTTAATCCAGTTATTTTGAGAAACTGACTTCTTAAAATTCCTGTGGTATTTACAGATTTGGAAGTGAAATTCAATATCATAAAACATTTCCACTTTAATTTTCATATTTTAATCCTGATTTCTTTTCATTTCGCTTTCTGTCTGGTTTATGGTATGTACTTGGCTTTCTTAATACACTATAATTTTATCTAGAAACTTTCAAAATCTGTATTCAATAATATTGATTTATCAGTCATGGCAATTATTTTCTTTATCTGTTTTGTTAAGCCTTAAATTATTAAAGGTTTAAAATATTAAAAGGGTTTATTAAATCCTGGATAATAGTGTTTGTAGTTTGAAAAGATTGTGTCCTGGTTTCGCCTGGGATAGAGTTATTTTTTTTTCCTAGTAGCAGGCATAGTGCTGTGGTTTGGA